AGAGAGTCACTCTGACTTTATGTTTATGTCTTTCAAGTCTTTCGTCTTTCTAGTACTATTCGTCGTCAAGTCCATATGTCTTTTATTGATATTGATGACGATTCTATTTGATTTGTAATATAAGTTAATGTACTGGACAGTCAATTTATTTGCGGGTTATCTGCGACACCTTAGCCAAGTCAGCATTCCCTTTCCAAAACTATTCGCAGGTCAATAAGCTTATCAGCTTGGACGACTACATCAAACAGTGCAAAAAGCAGCCCAAGAAGAACCTCAAGAGTCAGAAGGAAAAGAAGCGCTGGATCAAAGCAAATTTTCCAGATGTGAGCATCGTGAAGCATCCACAATCTGGCCGAGACTGCGTACCCGTCGAACAAGATATGATGATGTTGGTTGGCTCACGTACCAGTTCTTCAAGAATCAAAGAAGAACGCTTTGAGGATAAAAAGGCTGCGAAGACATCGTTTGCCAAGGCCAAGGAGGCCCTGCAGGTCCAGACCAATTCGAAGGACAGGGTGACGGTGAAATTCGACTAATTTATTCCGAATTCCGAATTCCTGATAAAGGTTGGTCATTTTTTAGGTGATTCAGATTCAAATTCAAATTCATTCAGATTCAGATTCATGACTCTAAGTTTTTTGCATTCTCAATTCTCAATCCTTCACGGACCACACTTCAACCAACAACTACCTACCCACTGGAGTTCGAGTTGAGTTAGAGTCAGAGTTACAAGATGTAACAAGTCACATTTCGTCTTCCATTTAGTTTCACTCTTCTCACTGTTTGTGAAACCCACAGAGAACGCCACTAACCGGCATTCACACCTTCATCCAGGAAGAGCTGCAAAAGGCCCAAGAGCAAGGGGAGGATAGCCAGAATGAGGAGGAGCAAGAGACTAAGGGCAACAAGGAAGACAACTCTGATGCCGACAGTGAATCCAGCTTTGGTGGCTTTGGGAGTGATTCAGAAGGTCCGCGGCCAAAGAAGAGAGCAAGGCAAGACCAGCCAAGACAGTCTGACAAGAGCCGCGACAAAGATCCCAAGGTGAAGGAGAAGCAGCAGGAAGAAAAGAAAAGGCAAGCAGCAGCTGCGACAGCTGCCAAGTCAAAGGAAAGGGAAAGCAAAGCTTTGAAAGCCAAGACAGAGCGTGCTGACAAGCTATTGACAGCGGCCAAGAAGTGTGACAGCATGCTGACGGAGGTCAGTGCTGACATGATTTGGCGCAGTGTTATCAGAACTGGCGAGGTCGAGCGTCGCTTGCAGAAGGCCATTCAAGCAAAGAAGGAGATGACAAGTTTCATTGACAATGAGGGCTACAGCTACTTTGGTGATGAGAGCCCGGAGAGATCCCGTGAGATCAGTCACTTCTTGGATAAAATGCAGGGCATAGTGGAGCTCATGACTGACTTGAAGGACCTTTGCCGTGATCTCCGCGTGGTCAGCCCTGAGAACTTAGTGAAGCAGATGACTGAAGGTGGTGACCTCCCTACGTTGCTCAAGAGTGTATTCAACGCACTCCTCAATGACAGGGACCAGGCTACCCTTCTGGACATCACCTGCACTTTTGCCAAGAAGCTGCATGGCGTGACTTGGACATACATTATTGCAGCCGTGAGCCGTGCTATCGCCCATTGTCATTGTACAATTAGTTGTATTGTAGTCTTGTAGTTGTATGCTGTATGCATGTGTGACTTGTTTCAACTGAGCTTTGATTCCAGCACCAGACTGGACTTCAGACTGCCAAGTTTTTCCAAGATCAGAATGAATTCATAATTTTACTATTTTCCCGAACTCCCTGTAGCAATCAAGCAAACCGAACCATTCAGAACCATGATATATGATTCTATGATATATAATATGTCATGATTCCTGAACCACGAATCAGAATCATCATTCAATCAGCATTCATGTTCCTCCAGATTCATTGTTGCGGGTAATTCGCTAGGCCCAGTGGCCCAGGCCCATAGGTCTCCGGTGCTCTCCAGTGTTTGCATTCAACTCAGGCTGACAACTTCTTATTCTTCAAGTTTTTGAGGATGAAAAAGCAGCCTGCTGAAGAGCCTGAGATCCACATGTCCCTGTACCATGTGGTGGAAGAATTCGGCTACCAGCCACATGACAGGGAGGACCCAGATCCCAGTTCGCCTATTGCGTGGCCATTTCTTATGAAAGCCCAGAACCAGTGCGCATCCGACTTCTTTGAGAAGCTCCGCTTGGGCAGTGGACTGGCTATGGCTGAGAAGGCCATCCCGCCCTATCTCAAGATCAACAGCTTGGATATGTATCAGTGGTGCCTTGGCGTGAGAAATTCCCTGGCTGTAGCCTAGGCTTCCCTTGGGTTTGAATCCCGCCCCACAGTTTCAGATTTTTTGCTACTAGTACTACTACTACTGTTACTTCTACAGCTTCTACCGTTGCCGTTTTCTCGTCAAGTCCTCGGAGGTTGCCAAGCGAAGTTGACATCTTCAAGGTTATGGACATCAGTGACTACCAAAATTTGACTGGACTTTCAGGACAGGTCATGCTGAACGTCCAGAGGGTCCTTGCCTGCCTTGAAATGCAGAAGAACGAGGTTGACACAAAGTACCTCAGCCTCGTGTCCAAAGCTAGCTACAGCAAGTCCTTGGTGATGGCAATGAATGCGCAATCTGAGTGGAGGCCGGGTAATGCGGTTTGAGGGGAAGCTAGTAGGCTGGCTAGTAGTAGTAACTCCACAGAGTCTTGCTGGAGACTTCAGACTTGACGACTGTCGAGCTGACAAACAGACTGCCAGTTGTACTTGTACTGTACTGTGTTCTAAACTGGACTGAACCACACACCATACTTTGCTGATTCACTTTTGTTTGAGGGCTTAGGAGTCTTAGGAGTACCGGAGCACCAGAGTATCGCACGCTGCAGGTCTTTGTGGACCAAAGTGCTGGCAGAAGTGAAGAAGCACAGCGAAAAGCGTGTTCCAAGTCTGGACATGGACGCTTTGGCCAGGGCATTCGAATCCGTATGTGCTCTCCAGCTGGAGTCTGCCAGCACGCCTGACCATGAGAATACAATCCGCATCCTCTTGGATTTTTTGAAGGTGTTCGGGAACCTGGATGACCGCTACACCCACAACCAGCAAGAGGAGAGACTCAAGTTTCAGGAGAGCATTGCAAAGCTTGTAGCTTGGTCTCAGGCAAACTTCACCCCAAATCTCCCTGAGATGAATGCGAAGCTGTTACGAATGCTCAAGGAGGGATCCCCAGAGGAGGCAAACACCATGCTTGAGCGTGCTGACAAGTTCAAGACGGTCAACCTCAAGCTTCCGGATGAGTACAACAACCAATTTTTGATGCAGTGCTCCATGGCTAGTTAGTAGTAGTGTTAGTGTTTGTCATGTCATGTCAAATATTTTCAATACTGACTCAGACTGAGACTTTATTTCCTGTTTGCTTCACTCTCATCCATATTTTGGGAGCATTGCGGCCAATGCCAGTAACATGTCTTTCTGGATTCCTCCAAATTCCTGCACCACCAACAATCCAAGGCGAGATGCAGCAGATCCTGGGATCGTTTTCTTTCTCTGGTCAGACAGTGGAGCCTGGCCTTGGCACGGTCCAGCGATGCTGTGACGCAGTCAAGGCGTACCTGCCCCCTCCTGAGGACATTGTTGCGCAGATCATGGCTGCGATGGGGCTCTCCCAGTCAATCGCCGCAGCAACCACAAACCAGAAGGAGACTGCTTCAGAAGCTGGAATGAACCCAGTATGTCAGGCAGTTCCAGAGACCCCATGGGATCACAAGCGCTTGCTGAGTGAAGAGTACCACTCATTCGCGCTGGCCTTGCAGGGGGCAAATGGCACTACAGACTTTCAGGACCCAATGGAGGTGGAAGGTGTCATCAAGTGCATGCCTTCGTTTGAGACCATGACATCAGCTTTGCAGTCTCCCTTCTTGGCTGTGGATAGCCCTGACCCGCTGTTCATTGGCCTCAAGGAGAAGTTTGAGCACTTGACTGCCCGCTTCATTGATGCTGCTGACAAGAGCCTCACTGACATCCAGGATGCTCATGTTCCCGGGTTTGAAGCTTTCATGAAGCAGTTTGACGATGTGCCACCGGCAGTTGAGAAGGGGAATGTCACTACCATCACGCACCACTTCTTGGATGAGCAGAGCAAAACCAAGGAGGCGCTGGAGCAGCTTCAAGCTGCGAAGGAAAATGCTGAGCCTGTCCTAAAAGGACTAGAGACCATGTGCTCACATACTTCCGGATCCGAGCCCTTTACCAAGATCATTGCCACAGCAAAAGGCCTTTACAAGACAGTCATGAGCCTGAGCAAAAATGCGGACCAAATTGCCGGGCTTTTGCTGTTTGGAGGCCTTCTTGTCCAGGCCAATGCCAAGGCCACGGATGCAAAGGCAACCATTGAAATGGCTCAGCAGGCTTTTGGCTACTCCAAGGACAAATTGCCAAGCAAACTTCAGAAGCAATTGGGTGATTTGCTGAAGTTGGATTCTGAGCCAAAGCAGAGTGGTGACCATGACCTCAAAAAAACAAAGAAGGAGAAGCGTAACAAGCAGGAGAAAGACGCCGCCACAGCCAAGGACAAGTCAGACAAGCGCAAATCTCGCAAAGGTGATGGAGACAAGAAGGCTAAAAAGCCGAAAGGAGGCGTTGACATTGACTGATCCGCTTGGCTCTGCTCCGTTTTTGAATTTTCTTCGTACAGTGACAGTGTGCTTGGTTAGCGTAACTCACTTTGACAGTGGCGGTATGAAAAAAAATGGAGGCTTGCACTGCGAGCTGCTGCAGAGAGCTGACAGCTAACTTAGAGTTTCCAACATTGTTTCCCGATTTCTTTCCCAGTGATCTTCCCAGCCTTTTGCTGTGGAGAAAAGTTTCCCAAGGTTCCCCCATGTTTTTTCCCAAACTTCCTCCCTGTGTTTTGCTGTAGAACAGAGATAGAGATCAACCAGATCTCTAAATCAAGCCACCTTCCAAAGCACTGCGGGGTCTTTTTTGGATGTCTCAAGCGCCATGCATGGGATTCCCATGCTCTTGGTCTGGAAACATCTTCAGAGGGATATCCCTGGCCAGTGGCATTCCGACCCAGTTTCGCCGTGTGTGCTCCTGGCCATGCGGCAGTCTGTCTATGGATAGAACGGGTATAAATGAGCTTGCAAGGTGTACAAACATGGCAACATAATTGGCTGCCATATAACCTTGCTTTGTTTACGCATGCAGTAATAATCTAAAACATGCATGTTGCTCACAACTGAGTAGGAAAAGGGTTCTTCTGAATTTCTTTATCATCAGTGGCTTGCTTGGCCCAAGAACAAATAGATGCTTTTCGCTCCTCTTCGGAGTGATGACGAAGCAAGAGAGCACCCCCAAACTCAGTTCTCTTCTTGCACACAGTCATTGGATGGAGAACTCGAAGAGTGGTTTCTTCAACTCTTTAGATCTCTTGATGTTCGGTCCCTGTCGACGGGAGCCTTTCCAGCTGAGACAAAAGCGCAGCCTCCACTCCAACAACGCTCTGTTTTTGGCGCCTTCCCGTTTCCCGCCCTATTTGTTTTTTTCCCACTCCTTCCCGTGCTTGAGACGTAGGTGCACCGGCAGTTGAGGGTCATCCTCCCTGGAGGCTGGCTCTGGCACTTGCCCAAAGACCTGAATGCGAGAACCTGCTGGGTGCTGGGTGGTACATCAGACATAGAACATTCAGGGTGAACTTGGAAGGGAGTTAGGATGGTTTATGTTGCTATGTTGAAATGTGAGGATTTGAGTCAACCCAAACTGCATCAGCAAGCGGCCCTGGTGGCCCTGGTAGGTCTGGAAGATGGCGGGAACAACTGCCATGTCTTGCGTCCAGGAACACCCCACGACGCCACAAGAAAAAACAACGGCAGGACACCACAGGCAGCGGCGCACAGTCCAGCACCGACCACTCCGGTCTTGCAAAGGTCACCTCTGCTTGCGGAGTACTCCATGTATGCCATATATGCCCACATTGACCTCCCAAACCGCCCCTGGTGATCGGCAGTCCGGACTGGCAGTCCGGACTGGCAGTCCCTTCTTCGGGTCGTGTCTGGGGATGTGTCGGGTCTTTCGCCCTCGCAAACCTGGCACCGACCATAAGGACCTCTGGTCGCAACATCGACCACTAGGCCCCAGGCCACATGCCAAAGGAATTCGAAACCATAGCACTGTGTGCTACGCTTCGTTCCTTCCATGCCGCACAGGTCGACGTTCTTGGACCCATCCACCAAGCCCAACATCCGCAGGTAGAAGTCCTGAAACGAAGACGATGAGTCAGCCAGCTCGCCGCAAAACAATAGCTGTTTTCGTTAACTAGACGACGAGTGGCCCGAAAGCAATTTTTCATCACGTAGGAAGTCAGAGTGCGAGTTATCCGGTAAGTGTGCAGTGAGAAGTGTGAAGTCGAGTGAGTTGAGGTAGTGTGTGGGTTTCTGTGCGTGTGTCTATGTCCGTGTGGAAATGAGTCTGCGTATGTGTGTGTTCGTGTAAGTTGAGGGAGTGTGTGGGTGTCTGTGTGTGATGCGGCCTCCCAAACCCCCCACCGGCGGCCAAGCGGTGACAGCCCAGCTCATCGTCGTGAGCATTTGGGCTGCTGGTAAGGGGACAATGGCAGCCAGCGTGCTGGCTTACCCACTTCAACTATGATGGTAGCCAGCGTGCTGGCTTTGCCATCTCAACAATGGCAGCCAGCGTGCTGGCTTACCCACTTCAACTATGATGGTAGCCAGCGTGCTGGCTCATACCCACTTCAACTATGATGGCAGCCAGCGTGCTGGCTTTGCCATCTGGACAATGGCAGCCAGCGTGCTGGCTTACCCACTTCAACTATGATGCTAGCCAGCGTGCTGGCTTTGCCATCTCAACAATTGCATCACCACATGCTGCACTGCAGACTGAACAATAACGTGTGAATCATCTGCCTCTGGTCATCCTGGTTGACGCTGAAGAAGTGGTCGTCAACAATGCCAAGGTTCCCTGGCATGATGGCTGGGCAAAGAGGAAGACCTACGAGCTAGTGGGCTGCAAAGTAGTAAATAGCGCATGCATAGCCATAAGAAGGCTCTGGTTCATGTGCGATATGAATATTGCAAAAGCTTGTGGGTTGCGTGAAACTTCTTCCAAGTATATTCGTCACTGCTGTTGAGTAGATATTTTGGTAGTTGGCTCAAGTTGTATGGAGACTTCTGCAATGTCACTGTCAGCACCGACAGGTCAGCCACGGAAAATACACAGTCTGTTGGCGCAGGCGCTCTGAGGGTGACATGTGCTTCGCTCTAGATGTTAAGAACCACTATGCTGTTCATTTTCTAATCGCCTCTCCTACAGAAACATGTTGTATGGAGCTACTCTGCGTACTAAAGTTGCACTGCCAAGTCGCCAGTTCTCATCTTCCCACTCCCCGGCTGCTCTGCGTACTACATTTGTACTACCAAGTCGCCAGTTCTCATCTTCCAGCTCCCCAGCTACTCCTCGTACTAAAGTTGTACTACAAAGTCGCGAGTTCTCAGCTACTACCCACTCATCAGTTCTCATCTCCCCACTCCCCGGCTACTCTGCGTACTAAAGTTGTATTACCAAGTCGCCACTTCTCATCTTCCAGCTCCACAGCTACTCCGCGTACTAAAGTTGTACTACGCAGTCGCCAGTTCTCAGCTTCCAGCCCCACAGATTGCTCCGCGTACTAAAGTTCTACTACAAAGTCACCAGTTCTGAGCTTCCAGCTCCCCAGCTTCCGCGTACTACAGTTGTACTACAAAGTCGCCAGTGCTCATCTCCCAGCTCCCCAGCTACAAACTCGCCAGTTCTCAGCTACTACCCACTCACCAGTTCTCATCTTCCCACTCCCCAGCACATCGCACTCTCGCCTGCATTTCGCGCACTCGACACGCACGATCTCCG